ATTTCATACCCTATATTGTTTTTTTTTATTCTTCTGACATAGTTATATATACATGTATGATAAATATTCTAAAGAGTTCTAAAGAGTTATACATGTATATGTATTCAAAACGGCTCTTTCTTTTATCTTGTTCTATTCATGACATACATGTAGATTAAATTTCATAATTTTTAAATTTTGTAATACATGACATTAGTAAAAACAAGTGCAGTTACTATTCAAATTCATCAAAGTCATAAAGACAATTATGTAAGAGAAAAGAAAATAGAAACAATAACAGTATAATAATACATGAACAAATAAAACTGTGTAAAAATGAAGCATTTTTTTTACCTCTCTAAGTTGTGTCAACATTCCAAGAACAATAATTTCTCCCAGTCTGGCAGTGCTTCCAAGCAAATACTCAATAGGTTTCAGCTGAAAGCAATATATACATACAGTAGATCTAGCTAAAAACAATAGAGCAATATACATGTAAACATCATGACATAAACATGTACATACAAGTGTAAATGTATGAGTTCTTACATATCAGTTCATGATTTTTTTTTCATTTTGATATCAAGAATTTTAAAAAAAAAGTTTTTAGGCAATTTTTTGCCCACTAAAAAAAATTTACAAGTTCAAACATGAAAAATTCTTAAACACACAATTTATTGTCCACAACATTTGTCTCCCTTTAAAGCAATATGTTCTGTTTTATCTATTATTATTATGCATCAATATTTTTGGTTTGTTATATTTGAGGAGCTGATGTTGCACTAGACTTCTATATCCGTTTACATTTTCAGAAAACATACAGAATAATGTGTAAATTCGTTGATTTCTTGTATAAAGGGAGTGGGAGATACCTGTACACGTACATATACATCCAGAAAAAAAATATGAAATGGGACTGAAGGAAGAGGAGCAGTTTGACTCCTTTGCACTATCAATTTATTACGCATAGTTCAATGAATGATAGAGGTACTGCCACGACACTCCACTCATTAACTCATGACAAGCAAAAATGAAATGTAAGTGAAATATTGAGCAGAACACTAATTAGATACATGTACATTTTATTGGTTTCACTTGTACCTGGAATTTCTTTGCACTTTCATCTTTCTCTGCACCAATAACAGGAGGGGTAAATAAATCATGCCTCTGAGTTCTCTGTCAAACAAGACTGCAGAGGTTAGTAGATAGAAGAGATTGCTCTGTAAAAATTATTTAATGCAGAGGACAAGCAACACCATATTCCTGAAGCTTTTACACCATATTTCTGAAACTACTACAGGTAGATAGATCTATATTTTCTCTTAGATGTCTTAATTTTATCTGTTCTCAAGAAATGTATACATGCACGAGAATAGAACATGAACATGTATATACTTATGACATTAGAAAATTAATTCAAAATGTTGATACTAAATATACATGTTTGCTATATTAAGAAGAGTATTTTTAAGGTTCCTTTGGGATTTTTATATTACAAGAAAGATAGATTACTGAAACATATGTCAAGAAGTTATTAATACCACACATTTCAATCTTTAAGTGTTCAACAACAAAATCATTTTTAGAATTCAACAGATTTAGCATTTGTCATAAACCTGTTGGAGAATGGTATATCTGTCCAAAAACAGGGTCACTTTATCCTGTGCTGTTCCATGCAGGCAAGGAGGAGGTAACCCCAGAGTGGAATTTCTTTAAAATATATATCAAAGTGGCATATATTAAAAAACTTGATCTATAATGTTTCAAAAATGAATGACGCAAAAAGATCATTTACGTTCCAGTTCTTTCAATGTTGGATCAACTATCAGAGAAACTTTTAAAAGGAGTCCCATTAAAGTTTGATTTTCATAAACAAAAAATCTCAACATACAATGGAAAAAGGAACAGTTAACATTTAATTGTATAGAAGTGCAGATGCTGTAAAATTTACAATTGTATTACTGAAGGGAAAATACAGGTAAATTGCTTCAACGTAATTACGTGAAAATAAAGTTCTAACAAATAAAAACCGATTTACAGTACTATTTTACCTTTATACTTACTGTATAAATTTCTTGCGATCTGCACTGTACGTATATCTGGGCACAGAAAAGGCATCAATGACACAGAATACATTGTCTCTGTTGTGTAAGTAAAAAAGAACAGTTCAAATAAAAATCATAAATCGAAAAAAAAAATTAATTTACATCTTGAATTCCAAGTTTGCTGTCAATTGAGTCTATAATTCTCTGCAATATATTACAAGAAACTTTATCATGTTGAAACTGGTAATTAGATTTTACATGAAAGAACTATTTCTAAATTTCCCTCACTATCCCCCTACCCTTCTTCTTGTTCAGCATTACACTCCTGGACGGCAGCTTCACAGGCGTCTTTACCAATCAGTGAAGACTTCACTGAAATTACAAAAAATACAGCAATTCATTAAAACTCATTACTTTTAATGTACTTCACAATTTCCAACACTTTTACTTTGGATGATGGATCATGGATGGTTGAGACACTGCTATAAATGGAAATCAAATCAAGCCATATAATTTGAGAAATTTTTTCCATGGGGAAGTTCTCCAAATCATTTTTTTTTTGCCATTTTTTTTTTAATCTTTGGAAGCAAATTACAGGAAATCCTCTATTTAATATGATGTACTTTTTTGCATGAAACAAATAAAGTTAATGGACATATTTCTCCTCTGGTGTATTTTTGTATTACTTTATCAGTATGTTAAGTATGGTAAGGGAAGTGTGTACATACATAATGTGTATATGCATCAACACAAACTTACAGGGTTGTTTCTGAATAATCTCAATCATCTTATCAAGAATCTCCTCTCTCTGTGTTTCTTCAACATGATTGAAAACTTCAATTAAGTACTTGCTGGCTTCACTGAAATAACAAAAAAATAAGACAAATCTTAGATAAACCAAATTCTTTCCATCTCAAATCTACCAGACAATGATCCTAGCTTAGTTAATGGCCTTGATCTTGGCCACTGAGTAAATTTACAGTTTGTGGCTGCTAAGGCCCAGGAATGATAAAAGTTAACAGAATTCTCCTTGCTGTTGAATATGACATATATGTCTTATGCTAAAAGCTGGTTCTTACAATTTTGCAACATGTATCACTGTGTCACCAAAGTTGACAGAGAAGGATATTTTTAAAATGGCTCAACCATTTGATAACAATGGTTGATATTAAAGCAGCAAGGGAGTAAATGCAACGGTCCAGACAATATTCAAACCTGGGCCCCCAAGAAATCTAGACAGGTGCATTGCCAATTTAACCATGTTAACTAAGCTTGAATTGGCCACCGTCAATCAAACATGTCTGACTGTCACATGTAACCATTCTTTAATTCTCTTTGCCTCCGAAAACAAATCCCAGGCTCTTTCTTGGTAGATATTTGACGTGTCACTTCCAGATTATTGCAAATGTAACCAGGGACCTATATACTAACAGGATAGGCAAATCCTTCAGCGCCATGTTTATTTACCCGAAACGGCACACACAACACTGCAAGTTTTTCAAACTATGTTTTTTCCCAGTAAAAAGCTTGCACTTCTGATTAATGTAATCTGTTCTTTTTGTGTATCGGAATGGATATTTAGTCAGTAAACTTTAAAGCACATATTATAAAATAATTTAGATATTAAGTAAACAACCACCAAAATACGTGATTTCTCGGAAATACGGCCAATAAGGGAAACGGACTGATTTTTAAATAAACCTAATTACTTCTAAGATTAGGAGTAAAAACAGTGCTAATAACAAATCTTGAATAATTTTTTGATAGATAAATTAAGATTTTATTCTGAAATATTTGATAGCAAAAGAGATATATTTAATTAAAATTGACTTACGAAATCCCGCAACTTACGAGATATCGCGAGACTTGCAAGAGTTGCCTATCCCGTTAGTATATAGGTCCCTGATGTAACAGAAAGGGAAAAAATGCAACAGACCAGACAGAATTCAAGCCCCCCGTGTTTTTACCAACTGAACAATGGGGCTGCCAGCAAATGAACCTGTTTGACTCATAGGCACTCCCCAGCTTCATTGGTAAATAAAAAAATATCTAGTATGGTAAAGTAGATATATTTTTATTTACCAATAAAGCTGGGAGTGCCTATGGTGTGACTGCATATTGTATACAATTGTAACGGGAGAGAAGAAAAATGCAGCAGACCAGACCGGGATTTGAACCCGGTCTGGTCTGCTGCATTTTTCTCCTCTCCCGTTACATATTTGGTGCCGTGCCATGCCCTGGAAGTTACAGGTGAAAAACCTGCCAGGGAAGAGCCTGGGTTGGAGTCTTTGGGGGCAAAAGACCTTTAAGGAGGGAGGAATGTGGCGGTCAGACGGATTCGATCGCCGGTGGCCAGAAAGCTCAGTTGGTAGAACACCTGACTGAAGATTCAGGGTGCCCGGGTTCGAATCCCGGTCTGGTCCGCTGCAGTTTTCTCCTCTCCCGTTACACAATTATATCTGAAATACTGCCCAGTCAAAAAAAATACCTTACATATACAAAGCTGTAATTATTTTTTTACCTTCGCAGTGTTAGTCCATGCATTTTAAACGTTGATGTTAACTGAGACTTTAATTTTGCAGCCATTTTAATTTCCCGCCAAATTAAGTACGTTGAATAATATCACAGAGATGTTGTATATGCACCGTCAAATGAACTTTTTATCCAATCCACTAGAACGATCCACAATGTTTCATCCGAATATGGAGCAGAAATATCTTTTAAATACAACGTGCATATCACTTTCATACAAAAGTTATCTATGCAAGATTGTTTACAAACTCTGAACACGAACAACCCCGATCCCGATCGAAATACTCATTTCATTATCTGCATCCATAGAGCAACACATGTTAAATCATAATGAAATTTTAAAGATAAATAAATCCATGTGTTAAGTATTCTCTTTCATTCAATGCATTTACTTTACTTAAATTTAAACATTTTTCCCCTCGCATCTTAATCGAATCGGGTTCATTGTTTGTTTTAATTTAACCACACAAATAAAGAAGATGGCGAACATAGAGGACGCACAAGCACGTGTGCGAAATGCATTTAACGACATGATGGCAGCAATTGACAAAGATATTATAAGACAGAGACAGGTATGTTATCCCAGAAATTCTAATGTTTCGTTGTTGAGTTTTTTACTCTGACCTTTTTTTCTTATGCAACTATTAAAAAGGCATACAGTTTAACTTGAATTTCCTCGAAGTAAATTGCATTCACACTGACATAAATCTTAACATAATTTTGTTTTGAGACAGTTAGTGAAATTTTGGCGTTTTGATAACAATGAATTATAGTCAATGAAAAAAATGGAGTTAATTATATACCGATGCTTCGTTGAATAAATATTGATCAAATTTACATAAGTAACCCACATACAGGTCGAGCACAGCCCACCATTGACAAACGGTGGTTTTACTCCAGTCAAATCGTAGTCGGTAAAAATTTCAGTCATTCCCCAGTCATTTTGTCCTTAGTCTTTTTGAAACTAAATATAAGGAAAACTTCATAGCTGCCCTTCTGTTTTGTTTCATTTAAATTATTTTACCGTTCACCCCATTTTCCATTTCCATAAAAATTGTGTCTATTTTTCATTTAAATTGTTCGCACATAAAACATGGATAAATTTATTACCTTAATCAAGTTAATCAGGCTTACAGAAATTATTTGGTAACATGTGACTGTGTATAAACATAGAAATGGTCAAACAGAATGAATAAACTAGAGGACTCTTTTGCATTGTACAATGAGATATGATTATTTTTTTTTTAGAAACAGAGTTATAATTTTTAATAATAATATGTCCGACGGTAAAAATGTTAGGGTGAGTGCAGTTGACCAGTTGCATTTTTGTAAAATTATCTATTTACTGTACAACTCCCTTCACCTCTCAAATATCGTTTTTCATTCTGCTTATAACAATACACTCTTCAGTAAACTCCTTTAAAATTTAGTCTGTGTTTTCTCCATATCATAAGTTTATTTTAAAACACTTAAAAGGAATATTTTTTATCTTTACTTAACTCCCCAAACTTAGGGATTGATAATCCAAACTTCTCAGATTTTTCCGACAAAATCGGAAATACCCAAGCCTTTGAAGTGACGAAAATATGATGTCACATGCAAAGTCATGTTTACTGAGGATGCAAACAATACTTTTGTTGCATGGAAAGTGCATTAAATTCTTGTTTGAATATTTGTCATAGTAAGTTGTTGCTTTGCCTAAGCCACCATGTTGCTTTGCACCACAAAGGATTATTGGGAATTTAGAATTTTTTCACGTGGCCCAATAAAAATTTCTTTGAACAATGTGCAGATTTCAACCCGAATTTCCTCTGTTTGTACACGCTGTCTATAGAGCTCGCTACGATAAGAATCTTGATAATAGCTAGCGCAGCAAAGTGAGCAGCGCTTACTATTATCAAGATTCTTATTGCAAAATACAAGAAAATGTACAAAGGAACATTTATTTTTTAATTTTTTTTCATCATGTTCGGTATGCATCAGCTATTGACATGGATTTTTCAAAATTCTCTGCAGTGTATGGAATTAAAGCCTAAATTTTTTTTTTCAGGCAGACATGCATACTTGTGCAGCCAAGTGTTACGGTGATAGAAAAAGTCCAATTGAAGATATTGAGAGGTGTGCACAAAACTGCAATGCCAAGCTAATGGAAGCATCAAACTTTGTTCAAAGAGAAGTGGAAGGTTTTCAAGTAAGTGATGTACTTTACAAGAGCTGCACTTAATAGTATGACAAAATATGATCAAGATTTTGCATTCAATTAATTCCACATTTTTTTTTATTTTTTAGGCATTTGATGCAAGAGTGTAATCTTGTATCTAGGACAGAGTTCAACCCCTTTCTTTAATTATGGTCCCACTACTCTTTTTGTATTTTTAACCTCATTATATTGAATCCTTGGATATCTCTAAGTTTTTTTTTTCTCGGTCCATCAAGTTTAAGATAACGAAGTTTGACTGTATTTCCACATAATATTAATCTGTGCTGACTAGCATTTGCAAAAATTTTCTGATAATTGCTTGTGAACTTGTACCAAAAAAATTTAAAAATACATAATTACAGTAAACCACACTGAAAGGGAACACACTTATAATGAATTGATGCTTATAGCGAAGAGATTTTCATTCTCTGTGGGTTTTAAACACATTGTGAAGCTTATGGATATAACGAATTACGTTTTATAACAAAGCAAAAATGGCCTGTCCCCAGCACTTCGTTATAAGCATGTTTTACTGTATGTCCAATTTTATTGCATAAATAGGGAAGCACATTGTAGTGTCCTGAGCAAAATTAATACATAATTAACATAGGACACAAGCCAAAATGAATCCCTGTTCTCTTATCAACATACACGATTCATAATTTTGAAGTTCAATTCAATGAGTGATGCAGATACATATTTATGTTATCCTCAATATATGAAAACAATCGGATGGCAGAAAACTCTGATATATAATAGGGTTCAAGATATCAAGATAGAATAATCATAATAAGGGTGGAACCATCGACTCACTTCAGCATATTCTTATTCTTCAGCATAGCTGTGTATGCTATTCTCTAATCGAACCTTTTTTGTAACTAAAACCTTTCTTTCTCCCTACAGAATCGGATCACAAGATGCGCCATGGATTGCCAGGATGCTGCAAGAGACAAACTTGGTCCAGATACGAAAGAGAGCGAAATTCAGGGCTATAAAGAAGACATGGAGAGGTGTGTTATTAAGTGTGTGGACACTCATATAACAACTTTACCAAGTCTAGAGAAGAGGCTACGATTAGGACTTACAAAGGGAAAATATGACTGATATAAACCTGCTGTTTAGAAATTTTTTTTTTAAATTACTAAATTTACAAAATGTTCCCACATTTATAAGTGTTGAGGTAGAAGAATTTTTTTTAATAGTAAGTTTGATGCTTGTGTTCAGTGCACACTAGTAGGTCAATGCTTTGTAGAGTGTTACTGCATATACATTTGTTTTTGTATAAGCAACATTTTTTCATTAAAAAAAATATACATGTACATTCATATTTATGTAAGAGTGAACAGAATTCATAACCAGCACAGAGCACAGAACAATAGATATGGATCTGATATCTGGGAACTTGGTAATTTTTTTTTTAATACATCACTCATATATGTTGATGAATTCTTTTGACAACATAACAAAATTTATATAATGAAAAAATAAATATTTATCTGAAATTGTCACGTTACATGAGATTTTTTGTGTTTTAATATTTCTGTTGTGGTGAACCTAAATGTTTTATCACACTTCTCACAAAAGTAATGTTTTCTGAGGGGATTCATTTGAGCCTCCTTTTCTTCCTCAATCTCCTGAGCTTCCTCCTGCTGAGTGGGCTCGAGATTGCGACTTTGACACTCACTCTCATGCTCGAGTCTCTCTTGAATAGACACTATGAGACTAGCTTGGCATCTAGGACAGACCCAGTGTCTCTGCATGTTACTGGTGTATTCACCCCACACACTGGCTTCAGACTCCTCTAGCAAACTGAAATTTTTAAAATTGGGTTATGAGAACAGTTTCATCTATTAATATCCAACAGGAAACAGGTCAGTTAATTTTAATGAGCTCGACTGAAATTTGCTTCCTAGAGAAGAATGAGGAAGCAGTTAACAAACAAGTGAAAAGGACTTGGTTTGTATTGAATGTGAGATTGCATCATGAATTGACTCGTAACGTTATATTAAGGTCAAGTTCACAACGTTGTAAGTCATTATTAACTTATTAATGAAGAAATGTGTGAAGATCTAATGGGCAAAAAAGTAACTTAATGTGTAGAATGTTATTCTGTAAATGCAAAACAAACCTCCAAAAATCTCAGTCCAATTCAACTTTACAAGTATTTATAAGCAGAAAAAAATTAACTAGAAATATGTCCATAGGACATGAATGCCCTGCCGAGGGTATATTAGTAATGCAACATGAAAATTTGTATTAGTGTATGAAATTTGATGGGAATATCTTGAATAGTTTCTTTAAAATTGACATTGAAATCTAAAAAGATATAGATGATAAATTCTCACCAAATTATGTATAAGTGCATAAACTTACATAAATATATCTTAAATGGTTTCTTTAAAATTAAGCAAAATGCAAATCTAAGAAAAGTGAGGTCAAGGTCACAGGAAAGTTCAAGGTCAAATGTTTTTGATGCAGTTGAATACTTCTCACAAATACGTATCAGCATATTTAAGTTTGATAAAAATATTTTGAATGGTTTATTTAAAACTGAGCTAAACACTAATTTAAAATAATGAAGTTAAGATCAAAGGAAAGGTCAAGGTCAAAAAATGTTGATGCAGTTGAAAAGGTTACATCAGTATGTATTAGCATATGAAGTTTGATAAAATATTATGAATGTTTTCTTTAAAACTGAGCTAAACACTAATTTAAGAAAAGTGAGGTCAAGGTCAAAGGAAAGGTCAAGGTCAAAAAATATTGATGCAGTTGAAAAGCTCTCATCAGTATGTATCAGGATATGAAGTTTGATAAAAGTATCTTGAATGATTCCATTAAAACTGAGCTAAATACTAATTTAAGAAAGGTGAGGTCAAGGTGAAAGGAATGGTCAAGATCAAAAAATGTTGATGCAGTTGAATAGCTTACATCAGTATGTATCAACATATGAAGTTTGGTTACACTGCCTTGAATGGTATCTTTAAAACTGAGCTAAACACTAAGTTAAGAAAAGTGAGGTCAAGGTCAAATGAAAGGTCAAGGTCAAAAAATGTTGATGCAGTTGCATAGCTCTCATCAATATCTATTAGCATATGACGTTTGATAAAAAATATCTTGCATAGTTTCTTTGAAACTGAGCTTTGAACAGAGCTAAACGCAAAGTGTGACGGAAGGACGGAAGACTGACATGACAAACACTATATGCCCCGGCCATATTCATGGCTGGGCTTAAAAATTAAATCAGTACTTGCCAGTTATAGACAAGGTAATTATTGATCTGAACTCCTCCTTTTACTGGATGAGTTCTCCCCTCGGAGCTGGATTTCAGTACACCTGTCAGTATTTCACTGTTCCCTGCACAATCTATAAATCCAAAGTAAACCAAATTACTTTACATACTAACTATTAATATTGAAGTACATTGTAAGTAGATTCTACCAAGGCTTATAAATCTGTTTATGAGTTTAAGTGTTACCATAGCTGCTGAAGACGAAAGATTTATGAAAATCTTTAAAAACGCCAAACGGTGTTGGTTTGATTTCTATGAGACATTGTACAGGCTTAGAAACGTCAAGTTACATATAATTAAAAAAATCCTTTTCCATGTAACAGTACAGCAAATTTTTTCTTCCAGAATAATTTTAACCCTCAAGGAAAGTGCTACAAGTAGTGTTAATCAATCAGATGATTAATTGATTCTTGCCTCTGTCTGGCCCCCGGTATAGGCGGCTCTGCTCAGCAGCCATCACACGACGGATTGCGTAACAGACATCACTGGACAGGTACTCGGTCAGTTTCTTAGCCAGAAGCCTCTCAAGCTGTCGAGCTCGGGGATTTATCTTTCTGTCCTCATCCAGACTTTTCATCGTGTCTGTAAAGTAATGTAGTACATAGTCATGAGTTGTATCTTATGTCCAAGAAAAATCAAAATTATGGAGTTATGAATCATTCCTTGGATTTTAAAAGAGAGAAATACATTCATGTATGTTGATAGAATACCCATTTAGTAATATTTTTAAACGTACATGTTTAAAAGAAACAGAGATCAGAATTCCGTACAAGTTGAGAAATACCTTCCAGTCTAAGCTTCAGTAAGTTCTGCCATGTGGCTCGGAGCTGTATTACACTGGACAGAGTGTTTGATGCCGATTCCTCATCAGCAAACTTTATCTCCAGCCAACCATCACATACTAGTCTGTTACAACAAATCAATATATAATTTAATACTCGCAATAATCTCCTTCATGTATTGCCAGCAAGAGATTAAAAGATACCATATAGTGGGTTTCTTTAGCGGGTGTAAAATTTGGCGTTTTGCTTGCTCAAAGGTATGCCAATAATTTTGGTGGAACTTTTTTTGGCAGACACAGAGTAACATGAGGTTGCAAAAGAGGAAATTTATCTTCTAAAAGAGTTTTCAGTACATTTAATAAGCATTTGAGTACAGATATAAGCAAGAATTTGAGTAAAAACCAATACAAGATGAAAGGTATATTGTTTAACAACAGACTGATCAAAGTTATTTTTCTTGTATACAGTATTTATATGCAAGGGTGCAAATTTAGCAATCAAATTTTAGTGGCCTACTTGAAAACCCCTAAAATAAGCCAAAGTTAGCACCCCGCTAAAAATTCCCACTATACGGTATTTTACCAGTTACACTTTTGAAATAATATAACCCTAACCTCATGCATGAGGCATCTGTGTCAATGAAGTTGGAGAACATGGTGACTGTCTGTAGGGCCGGCACTCTCATTGTGTTAATCAGGTACGGCTTGTTTGTCTCCAGGAGAGATCTGTAAATAAGATATACAGTCTCAAAAAGTTTATACATTTCATTTTAAAATTATTTACAAACACAGACAGGACATTTTATGGCACTTTTAAAGTGTATATGAATAAAGCATTATCCAGTGTGTAATGGCTTGTTTTCTGTTGATAACATTTTTTTTCGGGGGGAGGGGGGGGTATTTCACTGAAACAGAAGCACTGGGCATGGTAGACAAACTGGAATTTTGTTTTCTGATATAAAGAATAACATAAATACTGGTAACAAAAATTTCCATGTAACAGTTACACCCAGGAAATGAATTTACTTTTATTGTATTTTGAAATTGTAGAGTTTAAATTAAATTATAATTACATGTATATGTTAGTTGTTTTTCCCCTCAGCAAACTAAGGCAAAAAAAATCACTTAAAGAGATGACAGAAGTAAGCTTCTTATCTAACCTGATCATCACATGAGTAATGAACATCTTAGATCCCTCTGACATAAAAGAATGACATTAAGACACTAAAGAAGAATGTTCTTAACCTACACATAAGCTAACAGCTGATGATGATAACTGAGTTTTCCCCGTAGTTCTGATGGACACTGGGGATCGTGTTTCACCTCTGTAGACCTCAGAAGCTCGGGCTGACATGCAAATACACAGGTAGGGTGAAGCAGTAGGAAAGGTTTTGTCTGAAAAAATATAGAGTACTGATCATGCATCTCAAAATATTTATTTTACAAGGCTATACCCAGGAAAATCCTGTTAAAAGGATCCACATAATGAGCTCATCATCCAAACCTATCAAAGGACAAGATAAGCTAAGTCCCCTTTTTGGCCCCCGGTTCGGGGTGTCTTTTAGAGTGATGCAACAGTTTAGCAGTTAAAAACCAGCTGTTGTCACCCCTGCCACAAAATGAGTATTGGTTCTAAGTTATGAGATACACAGAGGTCAGAGGAAGGTTGGAAAATATGTCAATTTCCGAATTTTCTCATTTTTATGCAAATTTTCATCAATTTTACAGCACATTTTGGTTCAGAAAACATAGAGCACAAGCTTGCCTATCTATCAAATTTATATATTTCATACACTAGCATCAGATGCATGTATAAAAATCTCAGATAGGCAAGCTTGTGCTCTATGTTTCACAAAATTTGATCAGAATTGAGGAAATTTGGGAAAATGTCCTATTTTTGCACCCTCTTGTGGCCTCCGCGAAAGCCTTGAATCAAAATTAGTGCTGGTTTTAAAACAGGCATCACATTAAGTTCTTAACTACAAACTATCTAAATTTTAACCGTGTTCTGATTTTTACATCAAATAAGGGGCCAGATTTGGTCGTTACCATACCTTGTCCTTTGAGGATTTTTTATTTTTAGTTTTATTATGGTAGTTTCTAAGCAATGATAAACAAATGTAGAATATTTATCAGGTCGTATTATAACCTTGACCCATTAAAACACTAACCTTGGTATGAAAAGCCTGCTCGGATTCAGATTTATGGGGGTTATTTTCGTCTGCTATGGCGACCTGTGGATATAGCCCACTACACAAAATAATCTTCAGCAAATTGATTTCTCCCAAGGTAAAACTTCTGTTCTTGTTGGAGGTTTCCTGTCATATATAAATACAACTGTTAACTCTCCCTCTGTAGTTTAGGAGGCAGTGTGTTACATTGATACACAGAAGTGGCAGTCACTCATTTGAGTTTCATGTAAATTATAATTTTGACAAGATTCAAATTTTGTAGTAGTGGATCAGGTCTACTAGTGCAATATCAATATATGTAAAAATTTCTTTGGGTTTTCAAAATCATGGCATAATTATGTTAGTGTGTTCATGAGAAATCTACATGTACACAGGCACATTTTTCTACAGTAGTGAGAACATGCATACTTTTACTCTAGATTATGCTTTTAGAGATATGTACATTACCTACAACTAAAGGGATGTACATGTACATGTATACAGTTGGTTGTAGTTTAATATACCTGTATACAACTTAAAATGTATGCATTTGTAACTTAGTAGTATGTACCTGTACTTGAGAATGAATGCCGTAATTTACAGCGTACATGTTCATGGATATCTTCAAATAAGTATCTGTAAGTAATTGTTGATACCTGTAACTTGGAGAGATTGTGAGAGAGTCGGAATTCCAGGTCCTTGATGTCATCTCCTTCATCTTCCTTCTCATCATCACTGATGACAAAATCCTACCAGAACAGAACGGAACAGTTAAAAACTCAGTAAAAAAATTCTTGTCAAGAACATAGCTTCTGTGACTTATTTTCATTGATATGGTCTTGAAATTCCATTACCTTTTACTGAAACAATTATGCTTTTTTCTTATCTTAACAAATTTAAGTCTTTTAGAGCATGCAAAAATTCAAAACCTTTTTGTTTGAATTTAGGTTTCATACATGTATCTATCAAACACAAGGGAGACGCAAATGATTCCCTAATAACTCTGATCTGTATTTTAAAAGGCTAAAAAGCCAAATGAATTCTTACATCATCCTCTAGCTTAAGGATCTTCCTTTTCTTGGCTTCTCTGTTCTTCTCCTTCTTCAGCTGCCCTAATCGTTTCCTGTCGCCATGGTGACGACGTCTCTCGTCGCTAGTTGTAAAAGCTTCCTTATCTTCAGTCCTCACCAATAAATTATGGTCCTTAAAATGTTTTAATCTTATGATATTGATAATTCTAGTACATGTATTGGTATACCAATTTTATTTCTTATGTTTCCTGGTGTCGTGATTTTTTGATTCACTGTACCTGTAGAAGTTCTTTGAACTGTCCCTTCAGTTTAGTCATTTCATAAAATCGCTGTTCTTCCAAACCTCGTCTTCTACACCATTTCCTGGTATCCTGACCCTTTCCTTTCACCTGTTGTCAAAATATAGCAACATATGTAGAAATCAATTTGAATATTATTCACTAAAGAAGACTCTAAACTAAAATTACAAGTAAACAAAATGAGTCTTTGACAAACCTTTATGCAAACTGATGATATCAGTGTTTACATCATTTTGAAAGTAATAACCAAGGCTGTGAACTGGCAAAAAATGTGCTCTTCTATACTTCATGTGACACTAAAATCATGTTGTTACATGTATTTGCACAAGAACTTACTTGTATCCATTCATCAAATGCATTCAGTAATGTGAAGGGGTCTCCATGATCTGATTCTAGTGGTTTTCTTGTAGACTGTAAGTATTTAGATCTTTATTATGACACATATCAGCATTTTCCTACACTTGAAGTTTCATTCCTCAGAAAGATCGAAGCATTTTAAAAGATATGAACTGGTATTTCATATGAACAATGTTTGTTTGTTTTTGCTCGTTTGTTTTTTTGTTTGTTTGTTTTGTTTTTGTTTTTTAATATTTCATTTTTTTAACCTTTATTTTTTTTCTTTACTTCCTTTTTTTTCTTATATATACACGTACATGTAAAATAGTATAGTTTAAACCACATAAGAGTTGTCTTATTTTTTAGAGACAATGTGCAAATACAAGTTAATTAAATGTAAAGGCAGGATATTATGGCTAAAAGGAGAGAAGTATTAAGAGAATTATCAAGAAATTTGTTTTTAAGTCAAATGCCCATATCAAAAAAAACTTTTCACAGTACTGGGCTGTCATGCACTTTGAAAGAAAATACACTCAACAAACAATTTCATTGTAATTACTAAAGGTAAACTTAATGTTTATTTACCACAGCATCATAATCCGTATGAGCTTTACTGGTGAATGGTGACTGAACACTCATGGCTGCTGCTATGGACAACACAGGATCTATCATCTGTAAAATAAATACACGTACCAAATAATTAAGTTTTTACGTACTTACCACAAAGAGATTTCAAATCCTTACATGTATATTAACCAAGCTCATGATATCAATGTACATCTGATACTAATTACATCTCATCAAAGTGAGTTTGGTATGCAGGAATACATGTATAATGCCTAATCAGACAATAGATCAAAATATATTCGGAATTCCCCAGGTGCTGGGAACAGCTCACTGTGTTTTATTGCCCATGCCAAAAGCTGACAGCAAAAGAACACAATGAGCTGTTCCAAGTACCAAAGGAAATATATTCTGATCTTTTGCCTGATTAGGCATTTGATAACTGTTTTATTACCTTATATGACAGTTCCATACCAAAAAAAATGGAAAGAATAAATATAAAAGTAAGGCATTATTATTTGGAGTAAGATAAGGATGCTAGAATAAGCTGAAATCCTGATGATGTCACAATACTACTGACCTCAGGATGACATCATCAGTCAATAGATCAATCACATGTCAGGAAATAGATCATCAGTCAATAGATAAAAATCTCAAAACAAGTGAAACAGACTATATAGTCAAAAACTATAGAATACAGTATAAAACAGCAAATACTGGAGTATCAAGTAATGATGATACATGTATTATATACACTAACTGCATTCCCCTTCAACTTCCTTGCAAGGGAATAATTACAGAAAAAAATATATTCATAAATATGATTATTAATTAAATGTTGATAAAGCCCCTTACATGAAATATTGATCCCATTATAAGCATCTTTCCAATAATGACATCTACTGGTAACCGTGACAACATCTGACCAATTGGGGTTAACTTTTCATCTTCAGTTAGAGCACTCTGTTGAACCAAATTTGATTTGTGTACACATTTGGAAACAAAATGAAATTTTAAAATTTGTTGCCAGACATACATGAGAAAGAAACTTTGCATCCTCCATCATCTCAATTACGTGTACATTAAAAAAATCCACATAACTGTCAATCTTAATGCCATATACAGTTAATATACGACCATGTTACCTGTTCTTTCAGGAAGTGGACAGCATTTTCTATGCTACTCATCTCTGGCTCCTCCAGAAAAGGAAATCTACAAAGAACAAAATTCAATTTCAGTTCTTTATTAAAATACTAGTACTTTTAAGCTTGGGTAAAAATATGCAAGTGATAGGGTTTCAAAGTTATGGCATCAGCTTGATTTCATGACAGACAAGTGGAAAAACTGATAGACAGACAAACAGGGCAAAATGAATACATCTTCATCCTGTTGTGTAGGAACATAATGAATATTTTTTGTTTCATATTTTACATGTATGATGAGGAACAGTATTAAGACACCAATGTTCAAGAACAGTGTCTTTTCAAATTCACAATATAGGTAGACCTATATCTATTGAACATACCCATTAGACATTTTTAAACACCTTACTTTCTGACATCTGGGAGCCCCATGGATATCATTTGTAAGATCAGTGAGTCTAAGGGCACCCTCTGTATCTCTGGAGTGGCATACTCCTGGAAGGAATGAAAGTCTGACTCCTCATACAATCTGTAACACACTCCAGGACCTGTCCTACCTAAAACAACAAAGAGGAATGAGTTTTACTCTTCATAAATTTGTAACACACTCCAGGGCCTGGCCCTCGGGAAATAGTTGCTGTCTTGGGGAACAATGAACTTACCATTGCAGTCATAGCCAATAAATTTGTGTAAACTATTCATAAATACCTTCATTAATTTGACATCTATTACTGTTTTTCATCAACTTGTGAAAAAAACTATTCTGAAAATTCATTTCAATTAATTTTGTCCTACCTCTCTAAAATACTTGTATGTAACACTGTTGTCTGATCAGAAGTTTTAGCACCCAACAAGATACATGTAAGTACTAAAGCTTCTCAACATTTTGCAACCATTACCTGCTCTGCCCTTTCTCTGCTCGGCACTGGCCTGACTGATCCAAAATTCCTGCAGTCTCTGCATTTTATACTTAGGGTCAAAGGTCATTTCCTTCACCTGTAGAATATTTAATAACAGAGTCAGGTTTAATGTCTATCCTATCACCCATTCAGAAGCATAGTTTATGTGCATTTATTACATATTACACATTAATACTACATTGTACTTTAATCAATACTTATTAAACATATCATCAACAAAATTAATTAAATGCCTTACAAAGTTAGTTATACGCATTATATGCACTGAGCATATAATTAAGATTTATTTTTGGATTTAGATGGCAACAGACCTTTCCAGAGTCAATGATGAAGCGAACTCCATCAATCGTCACAGACGTCTCTGCTATGTTGGTGGATACAATACACTTCCTGACACCCTCTGGTGGAAAATCAAACACCTGATGAAGCATAACAGAGTCATTATGTCGCTAACCTCAATGTTTAGCAATTTTTACTCTTCATAGCAAAATCAAATCTTTTAAAAATCTATCCATCAAGTTTTCATCTTTCAGATCAACACAACTTAAAAATGAATCTATATACTGGTACACCAAAACAATTAATGCAATATTATTTCTTCCTTTTTTACCTTGTCTTGTTCATCTACAGAGAGAGCCCCGTGTAATGGAAGTACGATCCACCTCCTTGTGTTCTGGGCATACATCTTGGCAGCTTCTACCACTGTCATTATCTCAGACATCCCACTCAAGAAAATCAACAGATCCCCTCGCTCAGTGATAGGATACTTTAAAGGATACAGAATTTTTTCTAAGATTATATTGTAAATTTTTTCTATTCATACATAACATTTTTCTTCAAAATATAAAAATTGCAAGATGGTAATAATTCTCAAAGACAAAATTTTCCAAAACAAACAGGAAAATATTCTTCAGATACATGTATGAATAAAATTTAAGAGCATTACTGATACATATTTACAACTAACCTTGGTGTCAATTGTCTGCATTAAGCGGAGGTAGGGAGATGCATCCAGTCTTTCTGATTTGGATCCTAATTCCTCTTTTCTGATAGGAATATACTCCAGATGAATGGGATACAGTCTTCCTGGAACCTTAACATAGTAAATTTGTGTGTTATATATTATAAGTGTACTTGTGCACAGTTGCAATGAAATAAACTTTCCAGTAATTATAATGTAAGACTTAGTTCAATTTGATACAGCATTTTGGCCATAAATCATGATTACAAAGGAAATACAAAGTTTAACCTTTCAAATTTGCATTATTGAAAACTCCTCAAGGTCAAATCCTAATCATACAAACCTTGACGACAGGGGCTCCATCAAAGTAGCTGCTGAAGAGGTTTATGTTGATAGTAGCCGACATTAACACCAGCTTTAGATCTTTTCTATGTTGTAGCAGGCATTTCATCACTCCAAGCAGGAAGTCCGTGTGGATGTGACGCTCATGAACCTCGTCAATTACAATCACATTATACTGGTTCAAAAGTGGGTCAGTGGTCATCTGTCGAAGTAAAAGTCCTGCACATAAAATGAAAAGATTCAGTTTCCATGTTGGATGTATATAATATGTGAAAAAAAGATGCAGTGGATATTCTAAGATAACATACTACATGTAGTACACTCTCGATACAGAAACCAAAAGTCCAATATGGTAACAGGAATATGCTTGTCATTACACATACATTGTACATTTTGCGTTATTACTATTTCAAACACTAAATTTGAGAGCAAATGGGAGAAAATTCAATAGACATACCTTCTGTCAGAAACAAAATCCGGGTAAATCTTGTTTTTGTCTTTTCAAATCTAACCTATATATTTTAAAAATAAAAATGACATAAATTTTTCTTACAAATTAATTTCTATATTTGAAACACTAATATTAATTTTATATTACACTACACTAACAATTACACAAACTTAATTTTTTTTCTTCATAACCATAAATTTCTCATGTTTCTCCTATCAGGCTAAAAAATCTCAACATATTTTCTTTTAGCCATATTATTCACATTAGCCTTTTTGTGTAAAATATACCAGTCCTTTTTTTAACCTGATAAGCCACTTCAGACCCATATTCATTCAATGTCTCATAACCAACTCTTTTGGACAGAGATATACAGGCAATACGTCTGGGTTGGGTACATGCTATTCCTGTGTATCCTGCTGCTAACAAGTATTGAGGAACCTGTGTAATGTATCAAAATGTACAAAATCTAGATACAATCAGCCAGCATAATACCCCAATATTGGATGAGTGCATGTACCTTTACTGTAGTTCACATGAATTTATCTCTTTTGACCTGTGAAAGCATACAGTACATGTTCAAACTTAATAAATTTATGATTACAAAATATTCATGAAAACAAAAATAGAAGAGTTTTCTCCCTTTAGCACAGTAATTTTTATAAATGTTATGTATAAGCTCTTCAAACTGAGTGGATCCAGATCCACTTCTTTTAGATACAAATTCACTTATCATCCACTTCTACATGTGAGGATTTTAATTTTGAATGAATTTTCTCCTCTGTATATATTAAGGAATTTCTCCATAGATGTGTTGATTATCCTAATACCTGTGTTAATTTTCCCCCCACCTTTGTTGATTTTCTCCATACCTGTGTTGATCCCCCCACCTGTGTTGATTTTCCCCATACCTGTGTTGATCCCCCTGCCTGTGTTGATTTTCCCTTTACCTGTGTTGATTTTCTCCATAGCTGTGTTGATCCCCCCCCCCACAACTTGTGTTGATTTTCTCCATACCTGTGTTGATTTTCCCCATACCTGTGTTGATCTCCCCCTCAACTTGTGTTGATTTTCCCCTTACCTGTGTTGATTTTCCACATCCTGTATCTCCTGCCACCACAACAATTTGATTTTGTTGAAGTTTGTCGAGAATCATTTGTTTATACTGGAAAATTGGCAGATTCTCCTGATCTGTCCGGATCTTCTTCAGTTTGTTGAACTGTAAAATTAAAATCATTATAAGAAGTATGCATGTGTATATACATGTTATCTAGATTCCTTATTTTTCTTTATAAAATTCTCTTCAATTGAATGTACATGCCAGATAAAAGCTAAAATATCTATAGATTCCAGAAAAAAGAACTTTCTTTTGATTGAAAATATGAAAATGAATTTGTTTTTTTTTTCTTGGATGAGAGATTTCGTAAGATAACCTAAGTCTGGATCACATAATCAATGATCTTATACAATGTACACTACAACCACAGTTACTGTGATATAGACTACATACATGTATTTATTTCAGAATACCTCGAGTATACAAATACCTTTTGCTTCTGTAGAAAGTCCAGGTAGTATAATAAGATGTGTTTGAACTGCCTTACTCTCTCTATGGTCAATTCTCTCTCAATTTCACAATCTGAAATATCAAATGTATCATAATTATTTGGTAATTAATTTTCCTTTTTTTTTTAAATCAAAAGTGTAAACACTGAAATGTTTAATGATCTTTTATACAATCATTTACCATCAAATAAACCATAAGACCATTTAGCAACTGTGAGTGCAAGGTTTACATGCATATGAAATGCTGAATGAAAAAAAAAACAGCAGGACCCTACAGTATGATAATTAGAATAAACTTGCTCTTTTGGCCTTGACCTTTGATAAAATAGCTTATTATCTTGAAGTCCTTCATTGACTCCTCACCAATGACTACCCTTTAGTACATCAACTAGTACAGTAGAGCCTCGGTATCTCGAACATGAATATCTCAAATACCATGGATATGTTGAAGTGATTGGGAAGTGCTAACTTCTTAGGTATTTTACCCTTGATATCTCAAACTCTTGGATATCTCGAGTTTTTTTCTCAGTCCCATCGAGTTTAAGATAATGAGGTTTGACTGTATAATGTTATTGGTTTTTGTTAAAGGAAAAACAGATTGATTAATTCTATAAAGCACACACATTTAAAGGAGGGGATCATTGCAAGAACTGATCAGAAACATTATACATTTACTATCACTGCTATTTGGTATAAAATACCATATAGCAGTGATGGTACATGTACTGTGTTTTGTATTGACCAGGTAAATGGTTGGTGATATTTCACTGAAGTATGCCACTTTCAGATACTGTGAATCAACCTATCATTTACATCAAAAGATATTCATGACCTGTCAGTTTTAAATCACTCCATGACTTTTAATTTCCATAAATGAGGAAATATTCTACATAAATACACAAATTAATTAATACAAGATTTGTGCCAAGAAATAGCTGTGAGTAAAATATAAATTTGCAAAACTTGAGGATATTTCTTGTAGCATGTGAAGAAAACTTTGTTTACAGTATCCCTATCCTCTACAAGCAAATGTGTGACATTTACCAGCAAGTCTCCCTCTTCGTAAAAAATCGTCCACGTTTTTGCTGATAATCCCAATATTAACTCGGTACCTCTTGTCATAATGAAGTGGAAGTCCAAACTTCCCTTCCTTACAATCTTCAACCCTTTTATCTGAAATACATAATTAGGCATGTTCATAAGAAATACTCTTAAGAAGATCAAAATAATAAATGAATTGCAACAATAAAATAAAATGTTTTGTATTTCTTGATTTTGACCTTTTAATTTAGATGATTTTCTTTCATGAACATCATTTTGTATATTTATGTACATGTACCTTTGGCACCAACTGAAGAAATAGATGATCTCTGTGCATACAATTTTATTTATGGTATAGAAAAAATTACTTCCTTGAATTTTTCATTAAAAAGTAATAACCATATATACATGTACTCGTCTATAAGTAGGTTTTTTGGGAGTTAAATTTTGGTCCAAAACTCTGTGTCCGACTTATAGGCGAGTCATAGAAAGATTGGTATTTTTCAGGATGACAAAAGGAAGTATTTTATAAACAATCCCGCCGGTTATCGCTGAACAAAGTCTTTATATATCAAATCATTTATGTACTCTAAGATTATGCATAAAGTATAAGTATTTATAAACTTTAATCGTGTTATTTTTATCTTAAGTGTGCATTACTTAATTTGTAATGATTTAAAATTAAATATCAACATAATTTTTTTAAACATATTGATTGAAATCAGCTTAAAACATCAGACCATTAATTTAAAATTGTCAACCAATTCTGGCAAAAAGTTGTTCCGACTTATAAATAAGCAAGTCAATGGCAAATCCCTCCAAAATAACTGCAAAAAGTACAACCGACTTATAGGCAGACTGACTTATACGCGAGTATATACTTTATGTATAAGTTTCTGCTGAATTTCACATTGACACTGTATATCCCTAACGTAAAGTCTGATGACTGTAAGAATACAAATCCTATACTATACCTGAACCTTTGCCTGATTCATTTTTCTTCCTCTGGAAATCTTGATATCTTTTCAAAAAGATCCAGAAATCATCATAATCTTTAGTTCCTCTGGAAACAAAAAAAAAAGTTTATACCTCAATTAAACAGAGATCTTAATTGAGCTGAAAATATACATGTACATGTATATATATTTAGCCATTTCATTAAAAAAAACACTATGCATGCCTAACTCGTACTACTCAATCAATAATTTTCAATGAAAATCACCATGATAAACAAACTAGAATGGTTCTTGAATAACAATAATAGCCAAAAATACTTGCCTTTTTAAGAAGCTGTCCTCTCTAAAAAATATCTTGTTCAGAGATGATCTGTAGTCATGAAAACTGAAATCAAAATCAACACTCTCCTCTTCAGCCTTTGTTTCTCTGTCTTTATATTTATAAGATGAAGACTGTTCTCTAACATATTCGGCATCTCCTGTATGTATAATTAAAACTTTTAAATAAAAGTCTAATTGTAGGAAACATCACTGCTTTTATTTAGTTGAATCAACATAAAAAATAATATTTACAACATCAGATAACAATGGCTATGTTCTGGTAAGAACTTTTGCTTCATCAGGCTCTTGACGGTTCAATATATTCTGTCAGATTTTACAGCTTTGCACTGCACTTTAGAATATGACATATGGAGAATTTCTGGTAACAGAATGTTCAATCTCATGAACAGCAGACTGCTATGTGTCTTTCAGATTCTGTTTCACACTCCAATGATTAAAACTCAAATGGGCTCTCTTGCACTCAGAATCCTGGTTTGGTCCATTACATTATCTCCTGTCCTGTTACACCTAGTGCCATGCCATGCTCTTTGAATTGACAGTTGAAAGGCTTGTCAGGAAAGAGTGGCATGAGTTGGTGTCCGGGGGGGGGGGGGGGGGGGGGGGGGGGGGAGTTAAGGACAGAGGAAAGTGGTGATCAGGCAGGTTTAATTACAAGTTGCCAAATAGCTGTTAAATTTTTATCAATAAGTAACAAATAAAGCCCTAGAAAAAATCTTCCCCTCTCTATATAAACCCTATACATATATAAATTTTAACCACCGGCCTCCTTCACTCGGAATTCAATTAAAAATACAAATCTTATATCATGTATATGCCATCCAGTTTAAAAATTCCTACAAATTCAAATTTTTTTCATATTGAATTTAATGATAAAAAATCAGGTTCTGTACACAGGCATGTGCTTCTATTTTATTTATTTATTTTTTTGGAATCCATCGTATAATAATAATAAAAATGTAATTATTATACTATGGGATAAAAAAATAATTACAGAAGCAATTGCCTGAGGTATTTAACACCTGTCCAGGGTTCATGGGGCCTGGGTTAGAATCTTGATCTAGTCCGTCGCATTTTCTCTTTTCCTGTTACATACACAAACAATGTAAAAGTATTAAACATTTATTTTCATATTAATCAGGTCTGGCACAATCTCTTGATTTAGCTATATAGCTTGAAATAGCTATATAGCTTTATTACTGCACTAAAGTGCGACTTTTTGTACATGTATGCTGAGAAATTAACCCATTTAAGAAAAAAGTGTGATAAAATAGCTAGATTTAGCTATTCTGAATAGCTCAATAAGGCTAAATCAAGCTATATAGCCAAATCAAGCAGGGTTCGACATTAATGTTAGTCCGTTTGTCTCAGACTAATACATTTTTATTCGGACTAATAAAATCTGTGGCTAATTAGTCCAAACAGACTAATAAAAATTTCTGCAAAAAAATCAATAAATTTCCGAAGTAATTTAGTTATTGTAAGTAAGTTATTGTAGAAAATTCTCGAAAACTATCACTGGAAAACCCCGCATGTATTTTCAGCTTTCTAGCTTCTTGGCGGGAAGTTAGGTAATTCCGAGTTAATTCGGCACTTAATTTTAGGACTGATTGGTATGAAATTAACTATTTTAGTGATCATGATTTAGTATGACACATAAAGAAAGATGTCGGACGTTTCGATGTAATGTATATAGAAGAACAAACGAGATCGGGAATAGGACCGTAGTTCCTGATCGCGAGATTTCAACGAATCTTGGAATAAAACATTTCTCGTAAATGCTTGTTTATTTCAAAAAAGTATAAATAGTACATTGCAATGTTTATTTTTAAATTAACCTTTACAAAACAATTGATTTTTTTTTTTTGACGGACTCATAAAATCGCGTGCGGACTAATAAAAGTAAAGAAGCACCACTCCGCCCGGACTAAAGCCAAAAAATGATAGTGTCGAACCCTGTCAAGAGACTATGTCGGACCTGTTAACACTGAAAAACATAAAGAGCATTTTAATACAACCTCCTGGAATATATTTAGTAATGAAAGAAATACTTTTAGAGTTGTTTTCATCTTCATTGTTTCTCTTGTATCCGTATTCACCCTCTCTATGTTTTTCTTTGTCTGAATGTAGCCTGTCTTTGTGCTTTTTATGCTTTTTCTTATGTTTGTGTCTTCTATCGTGAGAATATGACTCCATCTTTGTTTATACCGGAAATAGAAAATGGGTATGTCAGTTTACCCAAACAGACTTGATGGAGGTTCAAATGGATGCAGTTTAAAAAATAATAAGTATTATTTTCTGGTCATCGTTTACGATGAAATAAAAATATACTATTTTATCACAAAAATATACATGTATTAACATATAAAAATAAAGACACAAATTCGCTTTTGAAATCTAATTTATTTTTTTAAAGATAATAGCCCATTCTCAAGTAGCCAACTCTGTTTTGTTCTTTTAATTTCACTAAGTAGCAAAAAGTTGAATGAATAATAGCCTTAACCACCGTCCACTGTATAAAGACTAATATCTTAAAATTTGCCATAAATTTTACGCAAGGAATTAGGAATGTATATTCCTGGCTACATTTGAACCAATTTGGGTACATAGTCTCACCTGTTTCGTTTTGGTTCTAGCGGCATTTTCGAAAAGGATTCGGGAGGATGGACGGAACAGACACTGAAAACCATCCAAGAGACAATATCCAGGAGTAATCTTTATGTTTTAACTTAGCATTTTCTTGTTGCATTATTGATACTTGTATTAATGCCAGGATTTTTCTATGTATCAAAAACAACGATACAAAAAATCACAATATACATATCTCTTCGATCCCTGTTTTATGTACAATCAGACAGGTCTGGTACAATCACTAGATTTAGCTACGTAGCTTGAATTACCTACATAGCTTAATTTACCTACCTGAAGTAGCTTTATTTAGCTACTAAATCAAACTTATTTCTTAATTTAGCATTTCTCGCAGAAAATGCAGAAAATTGCACTTTGATGCAGTGATAATTTTCAACTTTAACTCATCTGAAAACAATTCATGAAAAAATCACTCTTGGAGATGTGTCTTTTTCTGCGCAATTGTAATCAAAGTTCTAAAAGTTTTGGGGCTATATACAACAGTTAATTTGTGACTTAACAGTTACTTCATGAGTGAAATAACAAAGAAAACCAGTTTTGGTTAACATGAGCACAATGTGAACAGTCTAGACGAACTCCAAAAACAGCGTGAACTCCGAAAACAAAGTCAATGGCTCCATCATGCATTGCGGCAAAATGGCGTCCGATGTAAACAAACGATGGATTGTCGTTCGCTTTCTCCAAATATACGGCTGCATAATGGCTGTATTTAATGCATTGTGTCTTTATTTTAATTTTTATTGAATGGATAATTACATTTATTAAATTATTTTGTGGATATTGACTTATTTATTGCTTCAAACTCTTGCATACTAGTAAATTGGATATACGAAATCGAATTCAATAGTGCCGGTAAGAATTATTTTCTTATTTGATTTATTGTCTCCTTGATTTAAATTTTATGTCGTTCCTAAAATAAAGATGCTTTTATTTGTTTTTGAAGACACCCAGCTTGTATTCGTCTTAATCAGAAAATGCATATTTTTCAACATGGAGCAGAGATATTCACAGGTTCATTTTTAGAAGACATGTTGTGACCTTAATTTCTAGAAGAGTGGTTTTTAAAGTTTTCTTATTGATAGATTATACTTTTAAAAATGTTTTCATAATAATATATGTTCGTATGTGATAAGAAATCGGTAAATAACGACGGTAAGAACTTACGTTATCAATTCAGATGTCGTACACAAATAAAAAAAACCGGAATGCTAATTTATATGTAAGATTAAGTCAAGTTTTTAACAGTTACAAGATATGTTGTCCCATTATGCATATATATCCTTTTTATTATGCATATTTACTTCTCAAACGTATCATTTTCTCTGTAATTGATCTGACTTCAAACGTCAACTTTGAAAGTAAATATTTCCTATTTTGCAAATAAAATCAAAAATCTGACAAATACGATCTCTTCCGAAGTCTTTTATTTAGCATTTCTGAGTACTGTCTTAATTGCCATACTTTCCAAAACTTTGCACCGACAGTTTTTGTAGACCCATCAATTTTGCCGAAAAATCGCCATTTTTTGTGTATGTGCGCATGCGCGGACTCTTTTTTCGGAGTCTTTTTCAGTCTCAATTTCTTACTTCCGGAAACGCTGTTTTTGGAGTTCGTCTAGACTGGTGAAGTAATCATACTTATCCACGCCTCATTGCACACAAGGTGGTGTACAGTTACTCAAACAATGGAAATACATATTTTCCTTAAAAGTATTCAAACGCAGCAATGTTAAAACTATCTCTGCTTTAAATAGCTTTTTAAATAATACCTAGAAAAACTATTGGTAGACATTTACTTGCGACTTTTTTTCTTTTTAAAATAAAAAGCAAAATTGTGAAAAGTTGCCTTGTAATAGCTAAATAAAGCTACCTGAGGTAGGTAAATAAAGCTACGGTAGGTAATTTTAGCTACGTAGCTAAATGTATTGATTGTACTGGACCTGTCAGAAGCTGATCAGTAACAGAAAATATTCATTTCAGATTCTTAAATGCAGTTGAAAATCGCAAATTTTTTGAGGGTACCAAAGACATTGATGGAAAGGATTTGTCTGCAAAATTGGCTCAGCTCAGTCAGGTTTGTATAGAGTTTGTATAGTCAGTCTAGACGAACTCCAAAAACGGCGTTAACGGAAGTAAGAAACTGAGACTGAAAAAGACTCCGAAAAAAGAGTACACACACACAAAAATGTTGATTTTTCAGCAAAAATAATGGGTCTACAAAAACTGCAAAGTTTTGAAAAAGTACGGCAGTTATGCCAGTACTCTGGAATGCTACATAAAAGTCTTCAGAAGAGATTTTAGATTCTGTTTGCAAAAAAGAGGATATTTACTTTCAAAGTTGATATTTCAAGTCAGATCAATTACAGAGAAAATGATGCGTTTGAGAAGTAAATATGCATAATATGAAAATGGAAGTATATCCAAAATGGAACAATATGTATTTCAACTGTTAAGAGAGCATGTCAGTAAGCATTGAGTTTTCTATGGAAAGTCAAAAATATGAATTATTTTAAAAATAGTGTGTATGGATTATTTCTGTCACAGATAACATTAAAAATACAAAATTAATGATTTCAACCATAATCACTGAGTCGTATCCAAGGAGAAACATTTCCTTAGTTACCAGAACAATTTTTCACATTCAAAACGGGCAAATACTGACATAATTAAATGTATTTTTCACACAAATGTTCTCAAAAGATGGTTTAAAACTACCCATTTTATAAAGATGACTAAATTGATAGTTCTACTTTGCCTGATTAAATTGGATCAAGTTCTTCTGTTAAGTTGCTATGGCAATGGGAAAAAGCGACAAGTTTAGCATTGAAAAAATAGCTGAATTTAAGACATTTTTAAAAGGCATTTGACAAAAATCCGTACAACTGCTTGTAAACTTCTATAATGAAATTTTGTAACTGTTTGAGTATTCAAAAAAATTAAAAAATAAAATTTGGTAGACTTTCAAAAGCATTGTTGCCATGGAGATTCAAAAATATGCAAATCTGGGCATTTTTAGATGATTTCCTGTTAACAATTCAGATTACTAGAAGTAATTTGTCCTTTCAGAAACAAGATATCCTTATTCCACATGGGTGCAGTTGTAACAGGAAATGAGTCATGCACTACTATGACCTTCTTCTCACTTTGACCTTTGACCCCAAGGTCAAATTATTCTGTATTATATATTCTATGTCTAATAATTTCTTATCTAAATCTACATGGTTCTTGATATTTTGAACCTTGCTCCAAATATTTCATACATTGATGCACAGTGTATACTGTTAGACAATTCAAGAAGATAAATTTATGCTCTACTGTTGACCTTGACCCCAATGGCAAGGTCAGTTAATTAATTGAGGTCAAATTTAAAAATTTTATCTGTTATGACCTGTTCTTGAAATACATGTATTTGAAACACGTGCAAAGTAATGCATCATGAACAACCTTCAGTCAACCCCAAATAATGATGCTTCAACATCAATAAAGATTAAAATGACCTTGATGTTCCCTAAAACTTTCCTCCACTGCACTATGTAAAATTTTAGCCCCATCCATACCTAAAGGTTGACAATCTGAGGGAAAAAGCTAAAATCTAAATAACTTGGGAATCTTTGCAAATTAATTGATATGATTTAGTTTGTTCTTGCCTATTCTTGAAAAGAATATCTGAAAATGTGTACATGTATTCTCATTTAGTCTCCATTTTAGCCTCATCTTAGCCCCTGGGACCACAATTAGTACACAATGACATCTGCACTACCCGAGAATTCCTTGCATAATATGACAAATCCTGGCTTTGCTGGTTTTATTTTTTGCCTTTATACTTTGATTCCCTGGTGTGGTTTCACCCTATACCCAATGGCCATTATTTGATATATCAGGAAGCTTTCACATCATCTTTTTCTTAAGATTCATGCAAATATAAATGACCCCACCCTATTTTTGGCTTTCCCTGATTATCTCCTCTTGGGAAGGAGCTCGGCCACTTATTTGAATGAACTTGAAATATGCCCCTTTACTGAAGGATATTCAGTGTCAAGCATGGTCTAATGGTATTTTCAGTAAATTTAAAGATGAAAATACAGAAGTGCTTAAGAGGATGAAAACAACAATACAAATTTTTTAACAGAAAAGCCCATTAAGTACAGCTATGGTTAATGCCCCTTTAAAAATTTCTCCTTCAGTAGTTCCATAAATACACTACTGAAAGCAATTACAGGAGAAATCCAATGAAAAATCTATTTTATTTCCCCCTCTACTTATATCATTCAACCTGTTAATTCACATCAGATTGAACTGAAGTAAATGTTTATTTAGACTAAAAATGATTCAACAAAAATTAATTTGACCACATTCATTAAAAATATCCTTAGAGTTCAGCCTAACCCCCCCCCCCCCTTGTTGTTTTTTTTTTTTAAATAAATTAAATGAAAAAAATATAATTTGACCCTTTTGTAAAATCATCAATTTTCTTTTTAAGGAGGAGGTTTCATTAAAGTACATGAATAATGCTTCAACCATTGACAACTAGTCCTTAAGAAAATAAATAAAATCAGAATGTTCTTCCAAATCCCCAATTCTAACTTGGAAAATCTTAAGAACCAAAAATAGAATTTTAGTGGCTACTTATTCTTGCAAGTCCCATTTCCTAATAGCTCAAAAATACAAAAAGAATTTTCATAATTTTTCAAAAGTCATTATATTAGATCATTTAATATTCAGTTTATACACAAGTGAGGCTCAAAAACAATACAAAAAGTCCAAGCAAGTCCAAGTTTTGCCTGTGATTTAATTGGGCACATACATGTATTAACTGTCTATATCATCCAAAAAAATACATAACATATGCAATCCTCCATTCCTTCAGATTCAGTTCTGGGGATTACCGGTATGTGGTTATTAGACAGATCTCTGATTTGGAACATGGTAACACAAGATTAAACTTTAATAATGGTTCCAGTCAAGATATATTTCCGCCAGTGGCTTCTTTAAAGGATCAGGGTGTCATCTTCAACTATCTATAATAGCTGTAAAAATAACAAAAGATTATGTATTAATACTACTGAATAAGTGATACAGTAGTAGATTAACACACTTGTACATCCTATCTTCTGTAAAAGTTGCATTTAGAGTAGATTAGCACATCCTATCTTCTCTAAAGGTTGCATTAATGATATATGCATGTATATTCCACCATGCTAGTCAATGTTAATAATTACATGTAGCATGAAATTATTACCAGTTACATATATGCAGACAAGGGAACAATTCAGATATATGAACAAGCTGCAAAATATATATAGGAGTTCTGGATTCTGGAGTGGGGGTGGGGTGGGGTCAATTTTCATAGACAAACATCACTTAATTCCTCCTTCATATGTATGACTCTTTTGACCAAATAATGAGGTCTGGTTTCCTGAAGATGGAGGGGTGTTATGATAATTTTATTGATTACTTTATTATATACATTTTATAAACTTGGGAATTGTACCCAATAATTCATATATATTTTTTTTCAATTCACACTTTTACATAATTATATTAACACTCAGACATATTGATTTATAAACTACCTACACATTTTCAATCATACTTCCTTTCATATAGATTCAACAGAATCCATTGTTTTCTGTAGAATAATTAACTTTACATTGTGTCAAGTTATATTATTATTTCATCCAAAACTTAAAGGTAAATAAATTCGATGCTATTTTTCAACATTGAATTGGTATCAGTACCATTCCCAATCCATTTTGGCAATTGGTAGAGAAAAAAAACTCATTTGATATGTTTTCTGCATTGACTGTATGGAAGATGCAGGAGAAAAAAATAAAATGTGAACAAAGTTTTAGTTCTAATGTGAAATAATATAAACTCTGATTTATAAAAGAGGAAGGGGGTGAGTTAGAATGACTTTATTGTGTGGTTAGGGACTTTAGTCTTACCTGCAGTGTGACCCTGTGACCTCTTTATACACTGTATATATTCACAAACATCATAGACATATCTCTAATTATTTTAAATATCATTATAGCATTTATCTATCCTTAGTTGCATTAAGAGTAATCTAACAACTGCAGAATTAAACATTAGTGGTCATATAACAGGTTGCTCACAAGCTGTAGGTACGTTGCATCACTTAGTCTTGTGCAGTCAGTGTTTGTATCACATCATGGGAAAGAGAAATGAATCTGTGAGTACCTTCCTAATCTTTAATTTTGCTTTAAAAAGATAAACTTATCAAAAGTTTACCCAAAATGTACATGAAAAAAACATATTCAACATACCACTATCTGTTTTTGTCCAACTACTCCAAGTTGGAAGTTTTCCTTTTTCTCCCAAAATTCCTCTATTGTTGTCTGTTTCATTCTTTCCGACCTCTTTTGCTAGAGAGCTCTTGCAAGGGAGGTAATCCAATCGTTTTTCAACAGTGTTTTACAACATTTCATTCAGATATTTTTCTTAAAGTCTTGAGTGTCTACCCAATTTTATTTATTTAATTCATTGAACAGAGTATTCTCCTTCTACAGATATATGTAGAATTTTCTAAAGTTGTCTGGATTTTGCAAACTACGTAGCTCTTCATGCAATATAATTCTATAGGTAAAATCTAATAAAAATCAATTACAAAATAAATTTTCCTTATAAAACAGAAAAATGTATTTCAAAGCACTTTATGACCCACATTATAAAATTATACATGGAGTTTGGATGTAAAATACATGAATTATAACAGGATAAGGCAGTCCAAGTATTTCTGTAATAAAATATAGCAAATGCCCTGGTTGCCATGGAAACAAGAGGTCATATGCTTGGGTAGGTATGTTTTTTTGAAAGACTATTCATATGCATCATGTTCACAAAATTTGAGCTAGAAATATTTTTTTCCACTTTCCATGTTTATATAGCATGAAGCTCAATACTTAGTGACATGCTCTCTTAAAAACTTGACTGAATTTTACACTTAAATTATCATTTTGGTATTTTAATTGTGTGCGACATCGGAATTAAAAGTGTAAGTTCTCAGCATCGTTATTTACCAATTTTTTTTGTATCACATACGAACAGATATCAGGAAAACATTTTTAAAAGTATTATCTGTCAATTTGAAAACTTTAAAAAATTACTCTTTTAAAATTTAAGGTCACAGATCTTCTAAAAATAAACTGTTAATGTCTCTGCTCTGTAGTGAAAAATGCCCTTTTTCTTATTTAAATAAATACAATCTGGGTGTCTTATGAATAAATAAAAGCATCTTTATTGTAGAAACAACATAAAATTTAAATCAAGGGACAATAATTTAACCATAAGAAAATTCTTATCAGCAGTTGAATTTGATGTCATATATCCAGATCACTACTATGCAAGGGTTGTAAGAGATAAGTCAATATCCACAAAAATAATAAGTTTAATGATTAATTCAATAAAAATTAAAACAAAGCACAATGTACTAAATACAGCCATTATGAGGTCGTATATTTGGAGAAAGCGAACAACAGTCCATTGTTTGTTTACATCGGACGCCATTTTCTGCAATGCATGATGGAGCCAAAGACTTCGTTTTCAGTGTTCACACCATTTTTGGAGTTCATCTAGACTGATAGTGGAATGAATCTTGTCAACCAGATTCAAATATAAATTTTATAATCCTATTAAGCAGTTGTAACAGGAGATGATAATATTTGCTTTGAACAGGCAAAGACTCAGATCAAAGAGGCTTTTTCATTGCAAACAGTGTCCAAGGAAATGTTTCTCAAGTATCTGTGTCAAGACTTCAACAGTTGGCCAACACAGCAAATTCAGTCAGGTAAAATTAATGGTCTACAAAAATGAAATCTACCTTTCTCCAAGGAATGTGATCTTATAATTGTGTTAATTTTCATAACATACATGTATGTCTCTAAAGCGGAAAAAAGTTTTGAACAAAGAACACATTATATTTACATGGTTAAAGGCCCCCTTTGCCCTCTTTCAGTTACACAAATTTCATGATTGTTTACCTGTAAGAATTAAAATGCATATTTTGAGATATATGTAACTTGTGACAATTTTTAAGTTGAAAATTGATTTTGGTGATAGTACTATACATAATGTTTGTCACTGGAAGATCCAAATTTATCTATACAAACTGTATGAATGTAAAAAGAATCATTTTATTACAGCTATGTTGTTATTTGATTTGTAGAGGATCCACAGATGCAGGAGGTCACCCAGAAACTAAAATCCTGTAAAGGTGCCATTGAACAAGAGAAGGCAACTGCTACAGAACTAGCAGCTTGTGCTGAGGATGGTAAGTTGTGATACTGCCATGGGTACATGTTTTGTTTGAGCTGAGGATGGTAAGTTGTGATACTGCCATGGGTACCTGGTTTGTGACCTTTGTTATGTACTATGTACGTATCTGTTATATGGAATTGTGTGCACAAGTCATTGAAGAGTGTCTTTTTATTGCAATACATGTTCAGCTATCTCTAAAATTGCATACATGTATATAAGACTAAGCTTATATTTTGGTACTATATATATACATAATTTCTTTATTCTCAAATATTTTAGTCAATATTTTATGTTTATTTGCACTAGTTTTGTTTCATTATTTCATGCTCTTGTAAACTGGCCATTTAAAAAAAACAGCAATTATTGAGTTGATTTACCAGTAAATATAGTTTCAAGTTATTTTTGTATGATTATGTTGGAAAAGGCATATATATTTTTTTAAATTATCAATATCAACACCCCATAGATGATGCATGGTCACTATGTAATTAATTCATGAAGTCAAATCCAGCTTATTCCATTATATTTATTCATAGGTTACGAAATGCTGAAGTCAAAGATCTCAAGCCTGAAAGATATTCTTTTGAAAAGAGAACAGAAGGTATTTGGTATATCTATCCTTTTGTGCAGAGAGTATCTAAAACATAGTATTTCATGATAGGAGTATGCCCCTGCAAAAGGATTTAGTCTATTCCCCTATTTCAGTATACATGTATTATATGTGTAATGGATTGCTTATAATTGCATTGATATTCTCTCATTTATGCAATATAATATAATATGAGATAGAAAATATCTTTAGCATTTTTATAGACTACAGACTGGAAAGTTATTGAAATAAAAATTTCATACCAATTTATAGCGGAAAGAATTACAAGATTTGAGGAATAAGATGACAGGTGGTGGAAAAGTTTCAAAGAATCTAAAGGAAGTCATTCAGAAACAGGTCTGTAATACATTTACAGTAAGGAAGTGCTCAAAGGATGAAATTTATAAAATTTTAACGCACAAATCAAAATAAGAATTGTCCTTAATGCCATTGTGGAGTATGGCATAAACAAAGAATTCAGCTCTATAAATTAATGAAGTACATGTATATTGTCCTCACTAATACACTGTACTGTTTAAAACACATGTAGATTCCATGTTTGCAGCAAAATCATTCCATGGAATGGGATAAAAATCTTTACTAAAAAAAAAAAATCAATGTTTCCCTATCAGCATTTCTTACAGAATCATAGTACATACATATACGTTGGCTATGTTCATATACAGAAGAAAGGTGAACGTGTGAAGTTCTTCTCTAGCTTTTTGGAATATGGATAGATGTTGATACACATGTATATCTGCGATTATCTGGTTGTCAACATATCCAAAATCTTATGTTTAAGATTTAATACACATATAGTTAAGCTTAATTCAACACATACTGTTTTATTCAGTAAAGTGTATTTTGGTTTAAATATATTTTTGGCACAGTCACTTCTTCAATATTGAAATTCGTATAGTTTTCTATATTTCTCTTTGTAAAAGTTCTTGTGATACTAAATGAACTATAAGGAGGAAAATGTTGGTAAATAAATGTACCTATATGCAATCAAAATATACCATATTATAAACAGCAATCTGCTTTATGTTTAGTGTAGGTAGTAGTTTGTTTAAACTCCAGAGTAGGACATGGAAGGTCAAAGTTGTATATAGCAATATAGGAAAACTATAAAGCCTACTGGCATTATTTGTCATGAAGCATTGGGGGGAGGGGAGCAGAAAACCAGGAATATTTTTATTGAGACAATTCAGGGGATTGCCTCATCAATTCAGTAGGGTTGGATGATATATAGAGATATCGGTAATATTGATTCAATGTAAGGATGATATGCATATCTATATGTATGAAGAAATATCGGGAAAAAATTCTGACTTATATTTTTCTTTGTTTATTTAACGTATTGGATTAAGTATATAAAATAGATATGCAAAATATAAATATGAAATACATAATAATAAACACATCTATAAAATAATTTTGTTTTACATCAGATATACAACTTCTTTGAATAAATTTAATTTATGAAGAAATGTTTTGTTCATTTCAATACAAAAAAAAAATTATACCTAATTTAACATATCGTGATACATATTGTATCATGGCTCAAATATTGTGATACGTATCAATGTACAAAATGTTGTATCGTCCCAGCCTTGCAATTCAGACAGAAAATTGATTAATTTGTCAAGGGACTGTCTCAAAATTTCAATACAGACAAAACCGTGTAAATAAATAAAATATTTATAATTATGTGATTCTATATTTCACTTATCCAACTCATTGAGATGGTGTATATTCATGTATTCAACAAACCATGCAAATAAATACACTCTTCCAACTCGCTGGGTACATGTAAAGCAAATAAAAACTCAAACTGTAAAGATAACCTCTACACATTATCAAAATTTAAACACATGTAATTTCACTATTATTTTTTACAGAAAGATGAGAAAGTACAAGTAGATGCAGAGATAGCAATGAGACAGGCGTCACTATCAGAAGCAAAAGCCAGCCATGACAGACTACAACAAGACGTGGCAGCTCTCCAAGAGAAGTTAAAAAGACAGGAGGAAGAAATCCATAAATCTCACTCTGAAGCAGTCAAGAAACAAACACTCTTAACAGAAAAAATTAAACAGTGAGTAAAATAACATGATAAAGTAATTGGATACTGGTGAATGATATGGAATGATTTTTAGCTCTACTGGTGAGAGACCAGAAGAGCTTATGTGATAGTAAGGTGTCCGTCTGTCTGTTTTTCTGTTTGTCTGTAAACAATTATTCAAAATGCTACTTCTTCTACAGTTTTGCTCTGATTTCAATATAACTTGGCACACAAGTAGACTACACTAAGATACATAATTCTCTGTATCGGTTTTTGATTTCGATGAACGGTGTTGCCATGGTTACTTAAGACGGAAATTTCCGTGAAATTCTTTTAAAATGCTACCCCTTTCTTCAGTTTTAATCTGATTTCAATATAACTTGGCACACAAGCAGACTACACAAAGATACATAATTCTGTTCATCGTTTTTTGATTTGGATGAACATTGATGCCATGGTTACTAAAAAGGAAAATTTTTGTGAAATACTTTCAAAATGGTACTCCTCTTACAGTTTTAGCCTGATTTTAATATAACTGGGCACACAGGTAGATTACACAGAGATACATAATTATATATATATATCGGTTTTTGTGTTTGGTGAAGTGTTGCCGTGGTTACTTAAAATAGAAATTTTTGTAAAATGCTTTCAAAAGCCTCCTCCTCCTACAGTTTTAGTCTGGTTTTAATATTATGTGGCATGCAAGTAGACTACAGTGAGATACATAATTTTCTTTATTGGTTTTTGATTTTGATGAGTGAAGTTGCCATGGTTACTAAAATCAAAATTTCTGTAAAATTCTTTTAAAAGGCTATTCCTCCTACAGTATTAGTCTGATTGCAGTAAATCTTGCCACAAAAAGAGATTAAACCAAGGAACTTTATTCTATTTATTGCTGTTGCACTATGATACATAATTCTTTGTATTGGTTTCTGATTTTAAGACTAACCTAGCATTATTATTCTAATTTTTAGCTTTTGAATTGTTTCAATTTCCTTTGTGAAAAGTACAAACCATTAGAGCTACAGTCTCATTAGAGTCAGTTTTTAGCTCTTCTGAGCCAAAGGCTCAAAAAGCTAATGCTATGGACATTTGTGCGGTGTGCGTAAACTTTTTAGAATATGGGCCATAACTCAAGAACCCGGCCAATTATTGACAAATTTGTCACAGGGTATCCTTGCCCCAAGGGCTCCCGTTTATACTAAAACTAGGGTTGTGACCCTTAAACAAGGGGAGATAATTAGGAAAATAGAAACAAAAGTACTGGTTGCTAAATAATCTTCTTCTCAAGAACCACTGAGCAGATTATCACCAAACTTAATCAAAAGGATGAGGATATGTTGTAGATTTAAATTTGCACGGGGATTTACCCTGGGGCAAAGGGCGTGGTCTCAAGGTCACTTCAAAGTTGACCAAAAATTACATTTTATTAAAATGTTGATATTTTGCTTACTATAAGGACTAGGATCATCAAATCTTGTCAGTTGATGCATCTAAGGACCTCATATCATGTTGACTCAAAAGTAGGTCAGGGTTACCTACTGTTGAAATTTTGAGGCCATTCTTTTTCAAAATGATTTAGAGGCATATTTTGAACAATTTAAGGCCTATGATCATCAAACTTTGTCAGTTGATGTATCTTGGGTCCTCATAGTACGTCGACTAAAAAGTAGGTCACCTTGACCTACTTTTTGAATTTTATGGCTAATCTTTTTCAAAACAATTAAGGTCATTAATTCAAATACTGAGAGGTTTAGAATCATTAAATCTTGTAAGATGATGCATCTTGGGGCCATAAAACATATTTATTAAAAAGTAGGTCACAGAGACCTACTTTTTGAACTTTGCAGGAATTCGATTTCAAAGCGTTTTAGAGGCATAATTCGGACATATTAAGGCCTATGATCATAAAACTTTGTGAGTTGATGCATCTTGGGTTCTCTTAAAATGTCAACTGAAAAGTAGGTCACCGTGACCTACTTTTCAATTTATATGACTATAATGAAATATTTCAGGTACTAATTGGCTTAGAATCATCAAACTTTGTCAGTTGATGCATCTTGTGTCTTCGGAGTAGGTCGACTGAAAAGTAGGTCACCGTGACCTACTTTTGTAAATTTATGGCTTTAATTAAATATTTTAAATAATAAATATTTCAAAATATGACCTACTTTTGTAAATTTATGGCTTTAATTAAATATTTCGGGTACTTATTGGCTTAGAATCATCAAACTTTGTCAGTTTATGCATCATGGGTCCTTGGAGTACGACAACTGAGAAGTAGGTCACCATGACCTATTTTTGAAATTTTATGGCCTTATTTAAATATATCAGGTACTTATTGGCTTAGAATCATCAAACTTTGTCAGTTGATGCATCTTGGGTCCTCAAAGTATGTCATCTGAAAAGTTGATCACTGTGACCTACTTTTGAAATTTTATGGTTATAATTTTAAAAATATTTTAGGTATTAATTGGCTTAAAATTATCAAACTTAGTTAATGCATCTTGAGTCCTCGGAGAATGACAAGTGATAAGTAGGTCTCCATGACCAACTCTCAGGTACTAATTGGCTTAGAATCATCTTGGGTTCTCAGAGTGTTTCATCTAAAATGTAGGTCATGATGACCTACCTTTGGAATTTCAAGGGTTTATCTAAATATACAGGATATTTAGAGGCTTCAAATAGAAGTGATAGGTTGTACAGTTTATCAGAAGAGCGATTCAAGGCCCTTGGGCCTCTTGTTTAGTTTACCTGAGCCAGTGAATCTTTTCTGATCGAAGTGTGTCATCTGTCAGTCCACTCAACTGCCTGTTGTTTTCAGCTTCTTTTCCAGAACCACTGTGTCAGTTTCAACCATTAAGTAAAAGTGTTACTTTGAATGCAAGGGATTCATGTATATATATTCCTTAATTTCATTCCAAGTGGAAGAATAAACCTGTCTCTTTTACATTTGGCACCCATGTTGGGACCCTGGTATTTTCTGGCAGTTGAAAGTGATTGCCCCTAGTACCTTGCCCCAAAGGTGTTGGCACTCTCTAAGAGACGAAGACGTGTCCTTTTCTGGAGGGGGACAACTTGGTAGTGTGTGATACATGGCTTCCTACTAGCTTGATTTAGTGGGTTAATCCTTTAGCTGAATCGATAAAGCACTGGACCGGCATGCCAGAGGTCCCATGTTCAATCCCAAACGGAGGGACAAATCAGTCTAACAACATTTCAGTGAACAATATCACCTGAGTATTATTTTATCTTTTTAGGGAAACAGAACTCTGTGAATATATCAGAAAGTTGTCTGGGATCCGGGAGATCCAGACAGAGGATACAGATTCCATGTGCCTGGGATTTGTCCATGAAGAGGAGGAAGATCCCAGCCTCATTCTCACAATGAATCTGGCAGCTGATCCCACTGACAGAGTGTATTTGAAAGGAGCAGAGGTATGGCCAATGTTTAATATGTATGAAAGGTGCAATGAAATACATGTACATGTATGTAAAAATTCTTGGATCAGTGGTGAAGCTTACTCAGAGATAAAGATTTTTTAGCAATCAAAATTCTTATGATTATCAACATGGCCTCTTGCAAGAAAATCTGTGAAGAAAAGAAAGAAAAATTTAACTTAGATTGGTACATGTATATAAGTCATAATATACCCAGTATGACCCCTTCCCCACTATTCCCCCCCCCCCCCCCCCCCCTAAACATGAATTGAAATGGAACTTTAATAGATTTTTTTAGCTCACTTGAGCCAAAGGCTCATTAAGCTTTTCTGATCAAAATTTGTCTTTTGTCTGTCGTCATTGTTGTTGTTGTTAACTTTTTACAATTTCATCTTCTTCTGCAGAACCACTGGGCCAATTTCAACCAAACTTGGCACAGAGTATCACCAGGTAAAGGGAATTCAAGTTTGTTCAAATGAATGGCCACACCCTCTTCCAAGGGGAGATAATTAAGGAAAAGTAAAAATTAGGTGGAGTCATTTAAAAATCTTCTCAAGAATCACTGGGCCAAAAAAGATGAAACTTATGTGAAAGCTTACTGACATAGTATAGATTCAATTTTATTCAAATCATGACCCCTGGGGGTAGGGTGGGGCCGCAATGACCGATCAAAGTTTTACATAGGAAAATATAGGAAAAATCTTCTTCTCAAGAACAGCAAAGCCATGATTGGTCATATTTATATTGAAGAATCCTTAGGTTGTGTAGATTCAAGTTTGTTCAAATCATGTCCTATAGGGCTAGGGTGGGGTCACAATGGGCAAACAAAGTTTTACATTGGAATATATGTATATAATAAAAAATCTTTAAAAATCTTCTTCTCAAGAACAGCAAAACAATGATTGATCATATTTATATTGAAGCATCCTCAGGTAGTGTAGATTCACATTTGTTCAAATCATGACCCCTGGGGGTAGGGAGGGGCCATAATGGGCGATCAAAGTTTAACATAGGTATCCATAAGAAAAATTTTTAAAAAATTTCTTCTCAAGAACAATAAAGCCATGATTAGTCATATTTACATGTACGAGGGTTGTAAGAAAACTTTGCGGACACATTGATTTATGGCAAAATTTATTGCATACTTTGAAGAATGACTTATGTCTGATTAAATGCTTATCTTTTGTTTATTAGTATGTAAAACATCAGGTTCATTTACTAAAAGTTTGAAAAAATACAATGATTTTTACTTTACATTGGAGCAATCACACATTAGGTGACGTGACAACCTGATTCCAAACCTGTTAAGTTTTTTCGCAGTTTTAAATTTCTTTCAGTTCTATAGACTTTTCATGTCTTTTTCCTATTAAAAAATTGCATATTTACTATAGTTAGACGTTATTTTTTTCTAAAATGTCTTCTGTGGCGTATCGGATATTAGTAAGATCTTAAAATCCATGTCTATGAAGTTAAGCAATCAGGTATGGAAACAATGCAAATCCATAATTACAACGTCCATGCAATAAGCAGGGTATTGGGGTATCGCAGGAGTTAATCATCAAAAATGTTGATCCTTTCATTCTTACAAAGCCACTACCATTAGAACACTTTGGTCTTAAATATGTGTAGGAAGTCCCCAGCAGCATCTAAAAACATTTTAGTCTCTTTTGGACATTTTCCTGTCTGTAGACATAATTATGCCCCGCCATGAATATGGCCGGGGCATATAGTGTTTGTCATGTCCGTCTTCCGTCCTTCTGTCCTTCCGTCTGTCCTTCCGTCACACTTTGCGTTTAGCTCTGTTCAAAGCTCAGTTTCAAAGAAACTATCCAAGATATTTTTTATCAAACTTCATATGCTGATAGATATTGATGAGGGCTATGCAACTGCATCAACATTTTTTGACCTTGACCTTTCCTTTGACCTTGACCTCACTTTTCTTAAATTAGTGTTTAGCTCAGTTTTAAAGATACCATTCAAGATAGTGTAATCAAACTTCATATGTTGATACATACTGATGTAAGCTATTCAATTGCATCAACATTTTTTTTACCTTGACCTTTTTTTTGACCTTGACCTCACTTTTCTTAAATTAATGTTTAGCTCTGTTTTAATGAAACCATTCAAGATATTTTTAACAAACTTCATATGCTGATACATACTGATGAGAGCTATTCAACTGCATCAATATTTTTTACCTTGACCTTTCCTTTGACCTTGACCTCACTTTTCTTAAATTAGTGTTTAGCTCAGTTTTAAAGAAACCATTCAAGATAGTGTTATCAAACTTCATATGCTGATACATACTGATGAGAGCTATTTTACTGCATCAACATTTTTTGACCTTGACCTTTCCTTTGACCTTGACCTCACTTTTCTTAAATTAGTGTCAAACTTCATATGCTGATACATACTGATGAGAGCTATTCAACTGCATCAATATTTTTTGACCTTGACCTTTCCTTTGACCTTGACCTCACTTTTCTTAAATTAGTGTTTAGCTCAGTTTTAAAGAAACCATTCATAATATTTTCATCAAACTTCATATGCTAATACATACTGATGTAACCTTTTCAACTACATCAACATTTTTTGATCTTGACCTTTCCTTTTATCTTGACCTCACTTTTCTTAAATTAGTTTCTGAATCAAACGTCATATGCTGATACATACTGATGTAAGCTATTCAACTGCAGCAATATTTTTTGACCTTGACCTTTCCTTTGACCTTGACCTCACTTTTCTCAATTTGTGTTAAAATGTTGCATTACTAATATACCCTTGGCGGGGCATTCATGTCCTATGGACATATTTCTAGTTTTTTTAATAGCTCGGTGCTCCAAGATGTTAAATGACATTGCCATTCTTGACTTTGTTTTTATGCATTGATCATATATAATTAGCAATAAAACAGTCAAACCCCCTCCAATTCAATTCAAAATTTCTCCAAATGATGTTTCATGAATATCGTAGCTACAGGTGAAATTTCACAAATCCTTATGTTCTAAAACTTGCAATTTTTAATTTTGCAAAAATTTCTATGTAATGTACACGTGCAAACAAGTGACATGCTCCATGAATCATGCTTTATCTAAATAATATACCTGTAAATTTTTTAAAGATCATCGGAAAACACCAAATCTTTGCATATTTATTGGAAAACACGTATAGTTTTTATCTGCAGAGTTTTAATGGTTTCATGCAAATATCGTGCTCACTATAGAACTTGTCCGCAATCTTTTCTAACAACCCTCATATATAGAAGCATCCTCAGGTAGTTTACATTTAGGTTTGTTCAAGGGGTAGGGTGGAGCCACAATGGGCAATCAAATTTTTACATAGGAATATATACCAGTATCGTACAGATATGGAACCATCCTCAGATAGTGTAAATTCAAGTTTGTTCAAAACCCATTGGTTAGGGTGACCCACAAATGCTTGATCAGAATTTTACATAGTAGGAAAAAATCTTTTAAATTTCACAAAAATCACAGCGAGTGCGTCATACACATGATACACTGAAAGTAAAGCTTAAAACAACTCTTTTTAATGAAAATTTTCTTGGCCTTTTTATGAATTTCTATGCTTGTAATTTGCTTTAGTTAACAAAATAATATTTGTAAATTCAATGAAATTTACTTTTTGGAAAGTCTGAACGAATAGAGAATTACATTTGCATATGTTGGCATTTGTTTATTCGGAATCACTAACCCGGGAAACTCTCTAGAGCTTTGGAAACTTTTTGGTAATCATTCTACTGTACATCTCTTGCTTAGTTCCCCAAGAGTGTTCCGAGGCAATAAATAACAGAAGCCCTGAGGAGTGGATCCTAAAGTTTACAGGTCTAAAATTGAAACTAGGCAACTACTGTAGATTCCTTATTTTTCGCGAGTATTTATTTTCGCGAAATGACTCTTTTACATCAAATCACGAGAACAATTATTCGCGAGTGGACGGTTGATCGAGATATTTTACATTGATTTCAACACCATAAAAATAAAAGCGAGTAATTTTATTTCACGAGTGGTGCTTCTCGCGTAATTACGCGATAATTTATTCCTCGCGTATATTTAGGACTCTACAGTAATTGCTCGGAAAACAATTAGAGATCTTTCAATCTATTCTAATTTGTGTGTATAAGTGTGTGTCGGGAAGGGTGTCCATGTCATACATGCATGTAAGTGCTCATAAATAAAAACAAGAGGCCCATGGGCCACATCGCTCACCTGAGTAGCTTTGGCCATGCTGTTCTGTACCAGATTTCCCCCCTTTTAATATACCTATTGTGGCCCCGCCCTACCCCGGGGGTCATGATTTGAACAATTTAGAATCTACACTACCTCAGGATGCTTCCAAATAAGTTTCAGCTTTATTGGTCCAGTGGTTCTTGAAAAGAAGATTTTTAAAGATTTTTCTTATATATTTCAATGTAAAACTTGGATTCCCTATTGTGTCAATGGATGCTTCCACTTAAGTTTCAGTTTTTCTGGCCAAGTTGTTCTTGAGAAAAAGATTTTTAAAGATTTTTCTTATATATTTATGTCTCCCCTTCCAGGGGAGACATATTGTTTTTGTCGATTTTCTTATTTTTCTTCTTCTTCTTCTTCTGCTTCTTCTTCTTCTTCTTCTTCATCCAAATTTTGTCCAGGCCGTAACTTTAATACCCTTTGACATTAAGACTTCAAACTTGGAACATAGATAGATGACATTGAGAAGGAGTGCACGCCACCAACATTTTTGACCTTGATCTATTTATAAGGTCAAGGTCAATCTTTTACATCAAAATAGAGTTCAGCCCATAACTTGAGATCCCTTTGATATTAGGACTTCAAACTTGTAACATAGGAAGAAGACCTTGAGACAAAATACACTGCATTAGAATTTTGACCTTGACCCCTTTCTGCCTTCAAGGTCAAATAGGGAAAAAACACGATCTGACCATAACTTGAGAACCTTTTGACATTAAGACTTCAAACTTGGAACATGCAGAGGTGATA